AAAAAAAAAAAAAAAAAAAAAGACCCAAATTGTTTACTCTTTTAAGGAGAAAACTTATGCATTTGTGAAAGACTGTACACTTAAAGAGAATTACAAAATAAGCGACTCAGTGACTGCCTTTCTGTAACTTACAAGTACTTATTACCTCAAGCTCATATAAGCAGGTATTCTCATTCAAATTTAAGTTCAAAACACCTACAGGCAAATAAAAGTTTTGGATTTTTTCATTATTTCCTTGGATCCTTACAAACAACTGTAGTCTGACAATAACTGACTTTAAATATCCCTTTACTAGCTTGTTATTCATGTTCTCCCAATAGCCATGAATATAGTAATTAGTTTTATTCCTTAAATACAAAGTCAATGATGGAGGGGGAGCAGCTCAATTCTTTGGAATATTAAAGTACTGCCACATATAATACAAAGAAACTTGGTTACATGCATAATTCAGAGCTGACATCTCAATTCCTTATCCTCTTCTCTCTTTCACTCTCCATATAAGCTTCTATATAAACATTTTCTGATTCAATCATCCATCACTTCATTCTTTGATCTCTCTGAAATTCCTTTCACCTTTAAATCTACTAGAATCTCCCTCGCTTACTGGGTCTGAACATAACTAGCTAACATTTATTAAACACTTGTGATGTAATCAAAGATTTTACACAGTGGACAATATTAACAATGCTTTTCTCATAACATTATTATTGTGATCATCCTCATTTCACAGATGAGAAAATTCACTGAGATATTAAGTAATATGCTCAAAGCATAAATAACCCATAAGTAAAAGACCTAATGTTAGGATTAAGATCTGAGTCCAAAGCCAATGCACTGAACCACCACACTGTATTACTGGAGAAAATGGAAATTAAAGTACTGCTAGACCAGAGCAAAATGTTGACAATCGCCAGCTAAAAACACTAGTAAGCCTTTATTGAATGGTGAGAATAAGAGGCTGTGTGCACTACCAAGTGACATCAGGGCCTACCCTTTCCTCCACCATCACGTTGATGCCAGTTAATAATCTAGTTTCTTTATTATCTCACCAGACAAAAAGGGGCACTATTAATGTGTGAATAAAAGCATATGGCCAAGTGAAGGGTGAATCATATTATTAAGTTTTCACACTAACCTGAAGAGGAATCTAAGTCATGCAAGACGTGATAATATATGAGCATCCAATTCAAAGACATTGATTAAAACAAGTTCCTATTGTGAACATTACTTTTAATACAGAAAAAATAAATTATATAGGTTGACATTTTGAATTTTGCTGGTTTTGAATTTTTTCATTTAATGCGCAAAATCTATTTTTGTTTTATGTAGCATGAGAATTTTAATTAAATGCGTTTCACTAACTTAAATTTATGTCAATAGCAGGGGTACAGTGTTTTTTCTTTAACAACGTCCCCTACATTACTCTTACTTCTCAAATAAAAACAACATGAGGAATAAACAATACTTCTAACCAAATAGAATTTACTTATTCCAAGTTGTCTAACCAAACCCTATTAATCCCCCCCCCAATATTGAACAGGTGTTGCATTACCACTTTTTTCTCCCAGTTATAATATCAGCAGTGGTTTTCATGTAAGAAAGACACTGCAGGAAAGTGGAGTTACTTCAATACATAAATAATCTACCAACAGAATGCTTTTACAAAGAAATTCAATAAAAGTTACTCCCTTCTCTCTTAATTCTACTTAAAAAGTTCCTTTTTTAAAAAATGAACTCACTGATTTTTCATAACTCATCTAATGCAATCATGTCTCTCAATCTGTAAGCTTCTGGCTAATACTGAAATTATCTAGAAAACAATCCATCTTTAAGAACAATTCGCTTTCATTTAGAAGGCCAAACAAAATTCTTAAAAATGAACCTTGATGGCCTTAAGTAGTATAACGAATATGAGCAAAAATTAGAAAAATTCATCAAATAATCAAGGAAGAGGTACAAATGTAAATGCTGAGTTAAACAAGACTGTGCTTAAGTTAATTACCAATGCTGAAACTTTCCATTATGTAATATTTTAAACACTAAATGTTAGGTTCTGCCAATATATATGTTACTGACTTCTTTTGTCAACACAAAAATAGCCAGGACTTCTGAAAACACAAATCGTCACTACTTATGTCTCAAAGTGCACACAAACATATAAACACTTTTTCTCTTTCTTACCTCCCCCCAATTAAGTCAATCACACAAATAAAATTATTTTAAAATTCTCACCAGCACACTGAAGTACCTTGAATTCCTGCTTTAGTTTTAAATTATTAAGAACATGAATAGATTAATTTGGCAAGCCTTAATTAACCTTATATACCAAACAACAGTGATCGTGGTCAAGATGAAAACACTGCAGAAGTCACAGATATAAGCTGCATGAAGTGTTTCTGATAAAGCTAATTAAGTTCTAAGTAAAATTTAACTTTCTATGCTTTAAATAGGTTATTTTCCTTCAAGTTTTTTTAAATTGGATATTGTGGTTAGACTCCTCTAATTTTTTATCTATAAAAGAATAGCAGTTACAGGGACAAATTGGTTTGTTTTTTAATATCTTTAATACATATTATATTTCCATATTAAATTTTGACTTACCTGGAAGGAGAAGCACTAGAAAAGTTCTACTGAAGTCTTTCCTAAAATTCTCTCATGTCTTCCTCAGGAACATGGCTATTTTAAATATTGCAATGGGGAAAACAGTATTTGGGAACCCAGGGGGTAAAGTGAGAAATGAATAATGAAGTGTAATACAATGAAAGTTTCATTGTATTCCTATGGGAAGTACTGGGAATTTAACAATTAACCAAGCCACAATTAACCATTTTCTTTTTTCTAATGCAGACACTTCTTAGTTTACCTAAGGCACAGTAAAAGAGTACATCTTCCTTTTAAACATCTTTTCAACTACTGCTCAAAATCCTTAGACCAACCCGGAAACAGTAGAACCAAAATCTTTATATTAATACATGTTATTCTCAATATTTTCAAAGATGTATTTGCCTTTAAATCATTTCTAAAATTATTAAAATCAACCAAGGATCAGTACCAATAGTATCTACAGGTAGTTTTATATGACATGCTCAGTGACATTCTTGATTTTTTATTTACTTTCACTCTAATCAAATCCAAATTATTCCTAATTTCTTAGAGATTCTAGTTAACACCTTCCAGGTGGTTCTATATTATGCAATCAGCTGTTCCCAGAAAAACTGAATAATAAGGAAACATACCTAAGAGAGGAGCTTGGGAGATTTTTTTGGTTGGGTATGTGTGTGCCTGGGCGTGTAGGCCTGGGGAGAGTGGTAGAAATACTAATTTGCAATACAGAAAAAACAATGCCATTCACATGGTTCTGACAAAACTGCCTGACCACCCCCACCCCCACCCTCAAAAAGCCCTTAAATAAATCGGGAGTTCAAAAGAAACAACAAAGTTAAGTCCCCAGAGTATCACCCCATAAATACAATAAAGAATAGCATAGGAAGTGGCAAAGTTTAAAATAATGCCTTTATTGTTAGGACTAGTATGCTGTCATAAGCCACAATCCTTTTGTTTTGGTAAGTTGCTGATGAAATCTTCAACAGAAAAATACAAATGAACATGTGTACAAGTTCCAAAGTGGAATTTGGTATCAAATAATTAAATTTATTTTTCAGATATCAAATCTTTGTATTTAAAATTTTCCATTATTTTAAACTTCACTTGAAACTTTAAAACTAACTTGTAATATGAGTGCAGTTTAATTTTCTGTAAGATGCTATTAAACTCTCAACACTTTTAAAGAACAGGGAATTATTACCAGAAAAACTGTCATTAAACTTTGACAATCAAAAAGACAATTTCAAACACAGAGTAGTTCCACAGGCAAATTTATACAATTACTTTTAGTACTCTATGTAAAACTATTTTAATAAGTAAAAAGGTTAACTTTATGTCACACTATGATTAGAAGTACTTATCTTTTCAGTTTAAGTTTTCAACTTTGAAAAACTAAAAATTTTAATTAAAATTTTTGTTTCTTTAGATTATCAGGCTGCTCTCAAAATGACATCAATTCATTATATTAACTTACGGTCATTAAAAAAACTTACTTGCATATATTTAATGGTACTAACATGTTGTGCAAATCAACCATTTCAAATTAAACTCTTCTTCTTATCCCCAATACCTTCTTTTTAAAGGATAAGTGATACCTTTTTTTTGTAGCTTAGCACATTGTAGCTTAGAACAGATACTTAAAAGAGGAAGTTTAAATCCTAGACTACTACTTATTTTAACCAAACACAAAAGTCAAACCTACAAATAAAATCTTATACCCCTCAAAGATAGATTAAAAAATTACTTACCCCATACACCTGCAGCTAAAGATTTATTCTGATTTGGTTCTCTTTCATATTCAGGATTTAAAGAAGGCTGAAAGAAAATTGGAAAAAGAAAAAAACATGTTCAAGCTGCTCACACTGTAAAAACTAAAAATAACGTAATCTCAAAACCATCCTGAAAAGTCTGATAAAACATAATAAACTCTTTAACTACTGAAGACTAATTATTCATAAACCTTACTTTCATCAGCTTATTCTGCTAACCATTAAAGTGGTTACTATCTATACTCCTAGTTGGGGGGAGGAAGGAGAGGGAAAGGTTAAGTGTTTTAAATATTCTCAACCCTAACTACCTGAGGAAGAAGTATGAATAAAAAAACAGAGCAAAGGTGAGAATGTTGTTGTCTTCATCAATCTAAGAAATCATCCTTTTGGCACAGGTGACGTTGAGGACATTAAAAAGAAAATTTGAGTTGAATACTGAATGTGTACTCTAAAGCTAATTTTAGTTAGGTTTACTCTCTGGAATCCTGTATTTACAGTATTTATATCAGGTATTTTCCACATTAACTAGCACCACAGTCTGCCTTTTAAAAAGGTACTTAGTTTATGTTGAATAGAATGAATCCTAATGTAAATACTGTAATTACTCACAAAACTGAATTATAACACTCTACTGCACATTACTACAAAGTTCCAAAAATGTATGCATGCAAACCAGTGTGATTCCTTGACACTATCTAAATAGGACTGAGAAGAGTTTTGGTGAAAGTTCTACATACTGTTTAAAAAATACAGTACTAGAAAACACACCATAAGCCTACATTCCAGGTCTAGGACTGTAACCTCCCCCTAACCATCCTGGAAGTAAAGGTGGGATATAAAAGTATAACAACAACAGCAGCAGCAACTTTTATCATTCACTATGCATTTGGCATTGTTTTAAGTGATTTTTACTTGTATTACTCACTGAACTCTCACAACACTATGAGAGCATATTACTACCATTCCTGGTTTGTTTACATTATAAAAATTCCATTTTATAATAACCAGCAAGTGGCAAAAAATGAACCACCAAACTGTAAGGCATAGCCATTCCAGGTTATTCAATTACAGGACCTAAGAATCTTTTGTTCTTCTCTTTCCCTCACCACTCCCCTGCTCTAAATTCAATCTATCAAACTGTTTTTGACCTACCACACAATCTACCATCAAACCATATCCAAAACAGCTATTCACTTCAAGCCATCACTTTCTCCTGAACTAATGCCACTGCTTCCTAACCAGTCTCCCTGCTATCATTATAACCCAATCAAGACGGAACAATTGGAATGTCTTCTAAAAACTAAAATCCAATCACATGACTTCCCTCCAGAGTTTTCCTGATGCATTTGGAATTAAATTAAAATTCTTTATCTTTACCTGCAAAAGTTCTACTTAATTAAAATCCGTTCTTCCCTCTACAACCTGGTCTAATACGATTCTTTACCCATACTGGCCCAATTTTTATCCCTGAAACATGACAAGCTTGCTCCTAACCTTAGAGCCTTGGCACCAGGTCTTCCCCTCTTCCTCCCAGTCTTAAAAAAGCTCACTCCTCATCATGTAGGTGCCAGATTAAACATCACTTCCCTACAGAAACTTCACCAAAGTAGCCACCCAGTCACTTCTTGTCTTCTCTACAAAATAAATTACTTTTTCTAATTTTCTGAAAGCCTGCAATAGATTAGAAATTAAATGAGGCTAGGGACATTTGCCTATCTTCTTCACCTATGTATTTCGACAGCCAAGAACCACTAGAACTTCTATAGCCACTCAAATATGTTTAATAAAGAATGATATGTACAGAAAAATAAATTACCAAGATTGAATCATAGTAAGTGCTAGATAAATACAACCGTACATCAGCAAAGGACACCATCAAGAGAACAAAGAGAACCTACAATATGGAAGAATATATTTGTAAGTGATTTATTCAATAAGGGGTTAATATCCAAAGTACATAAAGAATTCATACAACGCAACACCAAAAAACCAAATCACCTGATTAAAAAATAGGCGGAGGACCCAAGTAGACATTTTTCCAAAAAAGACATACAGATGGCCAACTGGCATATGAGAAGATGCTCCACATCACTAATCACACCAGGGAAATGCAAATCAAAACCACAATGAGGTATCACCTCACACCAGTTATAAGGGCCACTATCCAAAAGATAAGAAGTAAGTGTTGGCAAGCATGTGGAGCAAAGGGAACCCTCCTACACTGTTGGTGGGAATGTAAACTGGTGGAGCCACTGTGGAAAGCAGTTACTGGAAGTTTCTCAAAAAACTAAAAATAGAAATACCATATGATCTAGTAATCCTGCTTCTTGGAATATACCTGAAGAAAACAAAATCCCTGATTCAAAAAGATATATGCACCTCCATGTTTATAACCACATTATTTACAATAGCCAAGCTATGGAAGCAACCTAAGTGTTCATCAATAGATGAATGGATAAAGAAGATGTACACAATGGACTATTATTCAGCCATTAAAAAAAAAAAAGAAATCCTGCCATTTTCAACAATATGGATGGACCTAGAGAGTATTATGCTAAATGAAATAAGCCAGGTGGAGAAAGACAAATACCACTTGATCTCACTTACTTGTGAAATCTAAAAACAAAACAAAACAAACAAAATAGCAGTAGACTCATAGACACTGAGAGGTAACTGGTGGTTACCATGAGGGAGCAGTTCAGGAGGGTGAAGGGAGTAAAGGGACACAAAATTCTCCATCGTTATAGAAGTTGGTCACAGGGATGGTAGTACAGCACAAAGAATACAGTCAACGATTCTGTAACATCTTCCTATCCTTCAAACAATAAGGCTTCTCTCTCACTTACCAACTTAACATTTCCCTGTATGGCCCCGGAAGATGACTGGTTAGCCAGAGACAGGTAAGATTCCTCAAGGGAGGAACAACCTAAGACAGGCACAGTCGCAGGGGGGCCATCAGGTGAGAAATTGGGGATCAACAGAGGTGAGGCTTAGAACCTCCCCCTCCTGTTCTGAGAGAAATCTTCTGCAT